GCCCTGGCCCTCATGATAGGATCCCTTATGTCCCTTGTGAGCCGATTTGTGCTCATAGAATTTTCCACTTCCATATCCTGGCTTGTGTCCTTCACCACCCTGCAAAGAAAGATTTTCACTTATATTAAAAATTATCATACGCAAATGATCGTAATCACATTATAGTTTTTGATTGCTGAAATGTAATACTTGTATTAGGAATTTGAAAGTGTTGGAATAAAATAATCCTTTAGGAAATGAAGAAGGAAAATGTTAGGATCTGAACATATTCAAATCTGAGGGCAAGCGGCATTCTGCAAAAGAGGAATTAATCAAAAGTCAACACTCAAACGCAAAGCAGGAAGAAAATGATCAAGAAGTGATCATGAAACAGTTGAAGAATAGGAACAACAGCTATAGGATGTGAGAAGGTAGCCTGAATTGAATTCAAATTTGTTTAAAAGTATATTGAACACAACACAAGCGCACAAGGATAGGGCAGAAGAGTAAAAACTTACCATGATTCAAATCATGTTTGCTCTCAGACTGGACTTTACATTTCAGATTATTTCCAATTTACTCTTTAGTCCTGTCTATTCTTTGATGCATGTTATGAGGGGAAAAAAAATGAGACACTTTATTTCTGTCTTGTAAAAGAATGTTTCTCAAATGCCCTTCATTTAATAGAACTGAGAGAAATACGATTTTAAATTAAATTTGTGATTTTGGCCATGGTTATGTCACTAAATTGTCACAAATGTCACCAACTGACCTGAATATGCTGCATCCCTGCTATCTCTACACTCTATGGGACTATTCCCAAGGACATGGGGAAGATGAGCAGGGGAAAACTTGTCGACTTTGATCCAGCTTGCACGGTGTTTGTATTCAGGTCAGGAAAGCCTAACTGCTGCCACAGGTGTGATACTGCATCAACAAACATTGCAGATACTAACCCTTGGTAGGGTGAATGTTTTGAACTTTTTTTTTTTCTGTTCACTGAATGATTTCTGTTCCAGTCTTGCAAACGGCAGAACAGAGCTTGGGTGATTTTTTTGTCCTGCGTCTTTTTATTTTATTGAATGTGAATACGAATATGAGAGATGCCGAAGTGCGAGACTCAAGTACCACACAGCTCTTCAGTACAAGCCCTGCCACGTGCATGTCGTGGGAGGATGTGTTCTGAGGTGTAAATCAGTGCATGTATATTGCAATTTTGCACTGTTGTCAAATGTCACCTGAAGCCTCTAACATTTGAAGCAGAGAATGAAGCTATCAAAATCACAGATGCTATCCACAAAATCGGTGTTTTTTACAATTACAGTGCTTCATCAAAAGAGCAAGAACGGTATTCTGGAGTTCAGCTTAATTGGTTTGTCTTTCTGATGTAAGAGCTAGAATTGGTTTTGTTTTGTTTGTTTGTTTTTAAATAACACACTAAAATGGTAAAAGCGTAAGCCAAAGATAAAATGCTTGGATTATCTGCCTTGATAATGAAGAATGAAGACTATCATGTTTGTAAAGAATAATCTTAATTTCTGAACTTTTAATTTTTTGTAGGAAGCTCTATTTAGGAAGTACTGGGCTTGGTCCTTTTAAAAAAGGAAAACATGGCAAAATCTCCTATCTTTAGAGCCAAGAGTGAGTTGTCTTTAGCTTTTTAATAGGGTCAGAGTGCTGTATGGTTGTGGAATTATTGTAGTAACAATGTTTTTGATATGCAGCCATTTATTATTATATTGTTATATAATATATGTATTTTATATGTGTAATTGCTATTATATTGTAATGCAGCTATTTAGAACCAATGTCAGCAAAAGGATACATAGCGGAAGGACACCTCCTGGAAAAGTTTCCCACTTCATAAACTGAGTAGCATGAGAGAGAGAGCTCCAGGAAGTATCAGGGGGCTTGCTGAGCCCATCTAGATGGATATTTTTTTCAAGCTTTTAGTAGCCTGTTGCCAGTAACCATCATGATAATTCAGTTTGCTGCTAATTGGAAAGGAGGTTTACACACTCTGAAGTCACAGTGTCATAAGACTTTAAGGAAATAGAAGTTCTGCTCGTTATTGGCTTCAAATACGTTTATCCAAGTGTGAGCTAAAGAGCTTTCGGCTTTGTAGAGAATCTTAAAATGTGAAAGCAGGCTAGGATGTCAGAATATTAACTGGCATTTCGCAGTTTCACATTTTCTAAGATGATACACACGTGAACTGAATCATGTTCTACTAATAAATGGTTAAGAATTTTAAAGCTTGAACATGCCTTAAAACATAAGTAGCATGCATGTTGGTCTCATATGAAATAAAGCCTGCTGTAGAGAAGTCAAATGGAATTAGTTTTGAGATACTTGTAGAAAGAACTTGTTTAACAACCTTTTAGGCAGTTTTCGTACTAAAAGAGGCAAGGACAAGTAAGACAAAAATATTTGAATTAGTGATGGTGTTAGTTTTGCAGCACTTAGTGTTTAAGAAAACTGAAACTGTGGAACAAGTTCCCATCTTGTCCCAGCCCTCCCTTTTATTTTTATTTTTTTCCCTTCCCATAAATGCAAAGTGCGGTAGCTGCGTCTTCTAGGAATCTTAAAGGTAGAGAGTTTTGCCATGCAGTGGGTTTTGCTCTCTTCTTGCTAAAGCAGGAGAAATTATCACTGCAAGGCTGTCAAGTTGCTGGATGAGAGCAAGCAACAAAATTACTGTCTTAAACTGCTGTGGGAGGAGGAAGGAAAACAGGACAGGAAAAGCAAAATCGCAAAATAGAGACAAAACAAAATTATCACATTGCTGCAGCAGCTTGAGGCAATGGAGCAAGATATGCTTTGGCCTGGTAAATCATAATGCCTGTTATTCAAAGCATGTTCGTCACCTACCCAGCTAAATCTGGCGAGGGATAATCCTCTTCCCTGTACATGTAAGAAATAGAAACAATGGCATGATGATCACTATGGAACGTAGCATCTGGGGTGTATGATACACACAAGGAGAAAAAGCAGTAAAGTGGAATAAAATGTTGGCCACATAACGAGACAATGAGAGCAACAGTCTGTGTAGGGTTATTCCGTAAGATGAAAAAGGGGAAATTCTCAGTTAAAATGGCAAGAAAGAGCTGCATTAGCTGTGGTGGTTTGTCAGTATCATGTACTTAGGGCTGGTTGAGTTTAGCAAGCGTAGGGACAGATTGTGGTGTGAAGTTGGCTTGAAAGTGCTGCCTATTCTTAGTTAGTTACATAAGTAGTAGCGGTGGAGCCTGAATAAATAAGATCCTTGTGAATGGCTTCGATTTGTTAAAGATCAAGCAGCAAATCAGGACACGCGTGAGAAACAGAACCACAGCTTCTCTATTTTAGTCCCTTGCTTTAAATACTAGCAACAGACAGCTCCTGTTTGTTACTGAATGCAAAAGATACTGGACGTTGCGTGAGCGCCTGCAGACACCTACCTTTGCTTGCATTGGAGGAGGAGTACGGGGTGAGACCTGGAAATCAGCACAGAAACTTTTTATTGAAGTAACGATAAGTGTACAGAATCATCAAGCCTTTTGCATAGCATCTGTAAGTTTTCCCCCCTTTGGCATTAGTTGTTCTCTAGTGTCATCCTGCTCTGCTTTGCCTTGTGAATACTTAGAAATGCCCATGGATGATTCAGAAATTAATTGCAGCATTAGTATTTTTCTGTCATAAAAACTTTCTCTTTATTGATGCATTTTTTTAACCTACTGTTGTTCTAGCACTTTAAGTACAGTGGTAACTCTGTCACACTCCAAACTGATAGGATGTTAGTTTCATGGTTTTAAATATCAACTTTTGTGAGGTAATTCTGACTTTCCTGAGTATTTTCTGTGAGAATTTTAGTGGTTTAAAACCAGCTGAATTCAGGGCTTGAACAAACTTTTTACTGTCTTAAGGGAGGTCATCAAGAAGACGTTGGGCTCTTCCCTTCTTTACATTTTCAAAAGAAATCTAAGAATGTAAGCTGTTTCACAGCTGGGAGTAAACTTACCACATCCGTTAAGTGCTATCTAAGGACTAGCAAGCACTAGAAAAATGTGTTAATAGACATCGCCTAGCACACATTTGATATTTTTTTTTAAACAGAAGAGATTCCTAAATATGGCCAATTGCCAAGATGGAATTGCAAAACTTACAAATGGTGAAGCCGTATAATTGTAGTGATTGTTGTTGAAATACTGCTGTGCTCATGGTGGGTTCAGCCACCTTGTTGTATCCTTTTATTACTATTTTCAGGTAAATCTACTTTTGCATCCAATATCGGCATTGACTCAAAGGCACACTTGGTAAGATCCACGAGATTCAAAGTAATGGCGGGTGGTTGTGGCATATTTGGCTATCGCAGAATCCTAAGCAGCTCTAGCAGCCAGGAAGCAGGGGTGACACTTACGATGTTCTTGAAGAAGTGGACTACGGGGTTGTCATCTCCAGGCCGCCCATGCTGAGACCTCTGGGGGATGGACCCTACGTGGCTAGCCCTGGCTGCGTGTATGTCCTGAAAGCAGAACAAGCAAAGTGCCAGGTCAAGCTCCAGGAAAGGTAACAGCCAGCGGTTCGGAGGGAAACCTCATTTTCACCAAGTCACGAAAGGAGTCTAGAGAGAGGGCAATCCAAAATCATCGGTGCTCCGAGAGAAGAACAATTTTATTACAATGGCAAATAGTCCATCCATTTTACTTTGTGCATATACGTAGATACTGTTTTCAAAAATATTAGAGCTGAGTGGAACTCAGCTGTTCTCACAGCAGAAGCCTTAAAGCTTTTGTTACTTCATAGGTAGCATCATAAGTGTAATCTTAGAATTTAACCTGAAATTCGAAGAAAAAAACAAAAACAACAAAAAAGCCATCTTTTAATGAGTTATTGGAGCCATTCTTCATGCAAGACAAGAATAGGTTGTGCATCCCTTTACATGTGTTGCACAACACTGGGGATCTTGGAAGAAAAACTTCTTGGGACTGAGAGAATCAAATGAGACTGGTACTTTTTCATTAGTGCTCCTAGTGGCAATACAAAAAAAAAGTTCAACAAGTGCGAGTAAAAGGACAACAATGACTGCAAAGAGTGAAGACCTTGACAGGTACCTGTTGCAGTGGAAATAGTGTCCAGAAATATGTGTAGTTACCACTATACTGATGCTGTGTATTAAGTTTACGAAAGAACAGTGTGTATGAAGAAGCCAAACATGAACATTTTTCTGTCGTTGCAAGTGCGGAGACACCAGTTTTTGCAGACAGTTTGCACAGAACCAAGCAAAGCATCACACTGATATTAAAAAGTTTCAGCGGTCTCTTAACACCCAACAGATGTCTGTAGTGAAAGGCTGGCTCACAAAAGCACGTACATAATGGTACAACCTGAGTTCTACTACAAAATTAAGTTGACTACAAAATAATCTGAATAATTACTTGAAGCATATTTTGTTTTCATCATATATAGAAAAAGCACCCATAAACTTTCCAGACCAAAAGCTTGTTTATCTTCTTGGAGGAGAACTCATATAACATTTTGGTGATTTAGTGATCTCTGGCAAATAATAGCTATATAACATTTTCAAAAGTTATCAAGGAACTTCTTGCATTTTGAGGTATCTAATGACATGCCTTTAAGCAATAAATATTTTTTAAAAGGACCCTGAATGCCTCAGGCTGTTAATACTGAAAACTGACTATACAGATCTACATCATCTGAAATGTTTGGATATAAGTTTCACAGACAGACTATCAGATATTATTGCTGAAAGCTACCAAACAGGAGTTGTATTTTTAGTGACTGCAGTCAGATCTTGTGATTTAGGAAAAGGTGTATTTACATTATATTATATCATCCAAAATTAAAGTTAGAGGTATACATCTTTGGGGTGTAGTTATGTAATTCTTAGAAATGGAATTCAGGCATACTGAATTTTCTTTTGGGGTGGGGAAAAAAAAAAAGAAAGAGTAGTTGATGGAAGTTCAGCCAGTACTTTATTGGCATGGGAGTCTGTTTGTCTTTGCATTCTTGCTCTATCTAGAAAGTTTAAATAGCAGGGTTGTCTTTGGGTTGTCTGAGATTTTTACAGTGTCAGACACGCAATCCTGTTGTGCAATCATTTCTACATTGTCACCAGGAAAAGATCTCCATAGTTCTGGTGCCTCTGGAATATCCTTCTCAGTTGTCCTGATTAGAGTGGTTGGCAGAAGAGGGAGCTACTTAACGATGTCAACACATTTAGAAGTTACTTTGGCTATGGGTGGGGGGTTTTGTTCAGTTGTATTTGGTTTGGCTCGGTTTTCCCGAATCTATATCCGTGCTTTGCTTTGGAAGCCATTTGACTTTTCTCTGGGATAGATTCTATGGCCTTTTTTCTACTATCCTTCTCCCTGCCTGGCATTGTGCAAGGCAGTGTCTGTATTGGCTACAGATAAATCGTTTGCTGTCTAACCACAAAATTCTTATAGTATGTGAAATAAAAAACTTCAAAATTATTTTTGATTGGATGTAGCCTGCAATTCTGCAGCAGACTGTAGATTATTACCGGACAGAAAAAGAAAGGGGATTTTTTAAAATTTATTTATTTATTTGTATATAGCTGAGATTGAATTGCCTGAATCTAGATCAGTTATCATATGCTATTAATTTTGCTAATTAAAAGAGTTTCACATAAAAAATACAAACTTTCTCCTATCTGCATTGCCAAATACTGGGTAGTCTTTGACTTGGTCCCCTTTAAGTGAATTGGGTAGTTGCGAGACTGGGCCTGTCCTAAGGGATTGCTTTGTATGAAGTTAATAATACATGGTGTTTCCCACTGTTACAAATGATGTGCTTTTCTTTCATGCTACTGTCCTCAAGCTTTAATTGCAGTCGAAATTCTTATATTATTCTAAATTTGTTATGGATAATTATCTGTTTCCATTTATAAGTAGCTGGAACTGCTCTTCCAACTGTGGTTTGTTCTTTCAATTTCTGGACTCTCCTAAAGTCTCTTCTAAAGAAGTGGAAAAAAAATACAGTGTTTTCTTTTTGAGATCACATCCATGATATATGAAAATAACTCAAAAGAGTAAAACTCAAGGGCTTAAAAGCAGGTCTACATGCTGACTGGAACAGAAAATAACTCCATTTTATCCTGCCAACACCCAGGGTTTGATATGCGATTGGGCTTTCAAAAACGAGCTTATCTAGTCACTGCATGTTACCTGGACCTCAGACAACCACTGTTTACTGCTAATTATTCTTTAAACACTCGGCAAAAGCAGCATCATCTTCAGAAATCTGACAGGGACGTGACGGTGAGCCCGTGTTCGCGAGGGCTGGCGCCTGCGCCGCGCCCTTCCCTCACGGCGCTGGCGCTCCTCGCCAGGCGGAGCTGCGGAGGGCGGCCGTTACCCGCCGAGCGGCCAGAGCTCTGCCGGGCCTCCCGCGGCCGCTGAGCGCGTCAGCGTCATTACAAAGAGCATCACGGGGAAGCAAGACTGGTTTCTGTATGTGTGTTTAAATATATATATGCATTTATACACCTATAAATGCATATAAAATATCAATAGGTATCCTGTAGTCAGGAGTGACTGTGTAGCTAAAATACTTGGCCCTTTTCCTGATGATACTCTAGAATTTCCCAGAGCAGTTTTCTTTGGGCAGGTGTTTTGAAAGAAAGGTTTACGGCTTTGACATTTCGATAGAACTGTTAGAAAATCCTGGCTCTTTCATTTATTACGCATCTGTCTTCACCTGGGGGAGCTGGAAATACTTTAAAATTAATACAAAGACAGCACGCAAGTCACTTATTTTTTAACAGCCTGGTAGCCATTTACTTTCACATCAAACTGTTTGATTAAATCTACGGACACAGTCCATATAAACATTCTCAAAGGAGCTGTTTGGCAAAACCTGCTATTTTTCTAACACAGTAGCAAAAATCAATATGCAACTCAGTAGGTTTTTGGTTCTTGTGCAGGGTTGTTGCATTTCTGCTTGAGCTGCAGGTACCTGTGCATATGCTGCTCAGTGTGCTGACCCCACAGGGCTACCCCTGCCCTTGGCATTTTCTGTGGTGCTGTAGAGGTTGGGTAGGGGAGGGGAGAGTGGCCTGTACCGTAACTCTGCTACAGCGACCAGCAGGAGCTGCTCTGCTCGTATTGATAAAGTGAGTGGATTTTCTGTAGGCCCTTCTGCTTTTAATGTTAGGGTGCTGAGTTTGATGAACTCATTTTGTGATCCTATGCATACAGCTGACAGGAGATTGTGGCGATAAAATTAATCTTCATATAAAAGCTCTCATTGAGAGTTCTCATCCTCCACAAGATGATTGCTTATATAATTAAGCATTGCATATACAAATAAATATAACATGAGAGAGCTAATTCCTCAACAGTGAGCACTAAATAAACATTAGTGATGATAATAGTATTAAGATGCTGATTTGTAGTACTGGGTTCATAGTCTTTCAGATTCATTTCAGCATTGTTATTCTTCAGGTTATATATCTTAAAATATCATATTGCTTCTGAATTAGTGAAACAAATACATACATACTTTTGTAACTGTTTTAAACTATCGTAAAAATTCTGAGCGTTACTAAAAATGAACAAAAATGGACACACTTGAGTTGCTTTAAGAACAGATACCTACTGAATTACCGTGCATAAATAATGTTAAAATAACTACTATAAAATTGATGAATTTCAAGTTCATATAAATGCAAAGTACATGTATATTGTCTGATCTGTCCCAGAATGTACTGGATATAATGCTTAACCCCATTAAGAACCGCAGGAATAGACTAATTAGTGCCTAAGTGCTGATTGCTGTTTGTGTAGTCGGTGGGAAGAGCGAGATGGAAGAACACCAGATCAATGATTAGCCACTCAGCTACTTTTACGTTAGCTTTTGAAATGGGTTTCTGAATCCCAACTGTCTTTAGGCATAGGAAAGTTAATATCTGGATTTGAATTTTTGTATCTAGAATTGCAAGTGGGAAGTTAGAGGCATATATCCTTCTCTCCCTTTTAGGGTAATAGGGTGTTTATTATGTGCGGATTGTGTAGAGAAATAATTGGAAAAGTGGCAGGTGTATTTTTATGCAGAAATTGCTTCATCTCTAGGTGCACAAAAGTGCTTCACAGACAGGGCTTAGCATTGCTGGGTGTAGCAGACATCAGGCTTCAGACAGAGGCTTCGCATGTTATTACCAGCCTTCTCATCAGGCAGCAGTAAATAGCACATGTCTAATGTGTTTATTCTATTACTGATACTAGAGTTGCTGATTCCATTTTCTGTCACGTACATCCTGAGTACCAATTTGCTCTTCATGAGGGTGATTATTCCAGGCCACTCGCAACTTATTGCTCTTGTTGCCATAAATGATGGGAAGATATTGATTTATTTCCTGAATGCTACTCTGAAGGTGACATTATAAATGTTTAATTAACTCAGCAAGCTTTTCTAATCACTTCAGATAGATAGGATGAACACATCATTGCAGTAGCAAGCACTGTTCATACCGATGTGCAAATTAATTAAAGACAGAAAGGAAATAACTTGCTTGGAGTGACACACCAGACTGGCTTTTAAAATAGGAGAGTGTCAGGGAGATTCTGGCTTCCAATCCTGTGCTGAGAGCAGTAATACCCTGTTTTTCTTATCTAGGAATAGACAATGAACAGAAAGAGAAGGAACTAGAGCACAAAGAAGGGACCAAAGTCACTGGAGGAAGTAACACAGGTGACTGAAAAGTGAGTCCTAAGGAGAATGACAAAGCCAAGGTAAAGCATGAAGAAGGAAACTGTGGAGGGCTCTTACCATCAAGAGAGGTAAGTGATGACCAGTAATGCAGAGCTGCATTTTTATACAACCCTCTTTTTTCCTATGGGCCGTGGTGATTTTGACTCACAAGTTGAAAGGTGACAGTAAAGGATTACTTAAAAGTCTTAATAGTTGTTCAGCATATTAGTTCAGGTTTATTGTGGGTCCTGAGTGAAAGGCTATCACTTCTCGCTCAAGCCTTGAATAGTTGTCCTGCATGCAAAGTGCCATCACACTTGCTGTTCTTTCCTCCCTGCTGGTTTTAATTTAATTAATTGTTGAGGTATCATAAAGGGTTTTACCAAGAAGGTAAAATTTACTTTGGCTTATTCTAGGCAGAAGAATGATTAAGAAAAGCAGTTCTATTCATTTAGTTTTCTTGAGAGGCTGTTGATCTGCTCGGGAGTCATCTCTGTCATCCATCGAGCAGTCTCTTCTGCATGTTTTCCTTCACCTTGGTATCAGTCACCCAATTAAATAGACTAAACATTGTTGAAAAAATCCACAACAGAAATCCTGTGCCTTAGGAATGACTTCTCCAGCAGTAAAGACATTTTGGAAAGGTTCGAAGGTAAAAAATGTATCATGTAAAAAATGTATTATTGCCCTATATTATCATAGTTTAATGGGCGAGCTTAATCGTAAGGCCAGTTCGTGGATATTACATAAACATTGCACGGTTAAGAGCTTGCTTTTTTCGAATAAATGCTGTCAGAGGTGAAGTGTCCAAGGATGTAGTCAGTAGCAAGCGGGAGGATGGGGAGCAGGACCCAGCCCCGGCGTGAGGCTTGACCAGCTCCCAGGCCTGTGCGCTGCCTCAGAAAGGAAACGTGGGGCCACGAGCGAGAGGCGACGCGAAGCGAAGGGCCGCGCCAGCTCGCCTGAGTCACCGAGACTGCTTCCTCAACAGTGTTTGTAACTGCCATGGCTGAACTTCAATAAAAACATCGAAAGTGGCAGGGGAGAGTGTGGATAGGTCAAAAACGATACATGATAACTTACTTTGAAGAAAAGAGTAACCAAACGCCTCTGAGCAGAGACTATTTCAGGAACATTTTAAGATATTTTCCGTCAAAGAACATAAAAATCAAGTCAGTGGTTGTAACTAGTGCTTGGTGATGATGAAAGCACAAAGATCAAGAAAAAAATGACTAACTTTTGCTGCCTTTTTCTGTCAGGCAGTCAGTACTTACCATTCTACTATCTCAGAACAACTAAAGAACAGAATCATTAGTTCTGGCAGCCTAGCATGGAAAGTGCTAAGCATAACTTTAGTTCATTATTTGGAAGGAATCGAGTTTATGTGTGAGAAGAATACAATGAATTTTAATAAAAGGCTCCTTGCTTATAAGTGTACCTTGTATTCAGAGAAAAAAAAATATATAACAAGAGAAACATTAATGCCAGGAAAGCCTTATGCTAAACTTTGAACGCGTGAATTTGATCTTTCGGTTTTGGGTTTCTCCCCCACTTTGCGAGCTGAAGGCAGTGAGATGCGGAACCCAGCACCCGGTGAAGCCCTGGGGTGCATCACGACACAACCCCAGGGCGCTGGGCCGCCTCGCAGCAGGAAACCAGAGCAGCAGCCGAGGCGACAGCACCAGCGCAGCTGCCCCTGCTACACTGCGCTCCTCGATGGCTTCCTGAGAGCACCTCCACATCTCCCTTAGAAACATCATTATTCATTATTATTATTATTACTTACCCACGTGACTCAGCTTGGAAACCATAGTGGTGGATAGAAGAATCATTATAATAGTAAAGACTAAAGTGGAAGATCCTGTCAGAAATTTAATGGAGAAGGGTAGTCGTTTGCTAGAGAATGAGCTGGCACAGTAATCTTCACAATGTTTCAGCTGATTAACTAATAATTTTGTTTGAATTAAATTACAGAATACATTCTTGAATTCAAGATGGAAAATAGCATAAAGTATATTCAGGTAAGTGCATATGTTTTTTTTTTCTTGATATCCAGTCATGAACTTCTCTTCAAATTCTTACACAAAGCTGGGTGTCCCAACTACTTGGTCCCGTTTCTGCATAACCCTTGCCAAGCTGGCGCAGATCTGCAATCTGTCTGGACACAAGGCACAACTAATACTGTCCCAAAAGTTAGTGCTTGCTCTTCCAAGCATTTCTTGTATAACAGTTAAACGCGATTGAGTTCCAAATTCTTCCTACAATTTGTTACAATTGTTTCAGGTAGTAATTTTCCTGAAAATGCCCGGGATGGTTTGTTGCAGTGCATTAAATGTGTTAAACATTAAATATGAATAACATGTATATGGTTATACTTGTGTTAAATGTTAAATAAAAATATTAAGTTCACTTCTCTAGTGATGTGTGCTACTTACCTGTTGACTGTTGATACTTGTTTTTTACAGATTATTTTTTTTAAAACAGATAGGCCTCAGTGCCACTTTGGGTTTATCTTACAAATTAAATGACATTTAATGAAACTGACATTTTAGGTCACTCCTCTTCCATTATTACCCGCTAGGAAAAGAGGCCAGACTGAGCTCACAGCATTGTAAAGGGCCTCACTACCTCTGCATACTTAGACTCTGCTTGTCCTAGAGAGCAAGTTTTATTCATTTCTGTCATATAAATTGATTTAACTGAATTGTAAGGAAAGACATTCAGCCTCTTTCAATGATGTTATATCCCATAAATAAAAAATTTGTTTCAGATTCTGTTAATGTATTAAAAAAAATTAAGTCATTAGTACACCAGTTTTGTGACTTAAACCATTTAATGAATATATAAACAAAACAGATATAAAGCAAAAGATTAAGATAAAAATTGTTGTTACAACCACCATCAGATAACACAAAATTTTTACAAGCCTGGGACTTGCACCGCAGTTTTACAAAGCTGTGTATCACAAAGCAGTACCGCTCCCTGAAAACTGAGACTTAGAAATCACAGATCACAGTAAGGATTTACTTTGAGCACATCACCCTCTAGTCAAGCTAGCACTGATTGAGCTATTTTTTCAAAGTCTTCATGGCCTTGAATGTATTATATAATGAAAAAGTTGAACATAAACAGGTGGATCGAGCTCAAGCCCCAAGAAATGCATGAATATCTCACAGCAACACTGCTCCATGTCACCATGTAGCAGTGCTCCGTGGAGCCGCGTTTGCACCAACGGCTCGGGGGGGGTTACACTGTGGGGCTGCTGCCTCCCCCGTGCTGACCCCACGCGCCAGCTCTCCTCCATGCCCGTGTCTGCCCTCCCTCGTCCTTGCATCCAGAGCCTCCCTGCACACTGGGACTGAGGCAGGAACAAGGCTTCACAGAGGCGGCGCGGGAGAACAGCGCGAGTTCACACACGAGCCTGAAGCAAAATGTAAAAGATGAGAAATGCTTTTACTAATGCGAACTTCAGGCTTTCAGGAAGGCAGGCCCTGGCCTATTACTTACTCACAATACTCCGGTCTGCTCTATTTATCACACAAGTGTAGCTTAAGTTTAGTAAGTTAATGCCTAATGTTAAGCCTGGACATAAGCTTTCACAATCCAAACTTTTGTAGGAAAACAAAAATCACAAACAACAATTGCAGAAGCTTAAGCAACTAATTTAGTTGCAGACCTTCTCAAAAGGGAAGCAAAAGAGCACTCGGTACACACTGAAGTTGGATACAGACTAGTACCTAGGACTCACAGAGATGCAATCATTTTAACACAAGCTTCCTTACACGCCTTACACTTGTTTAGAGTGGAGAGGAAATAATTTGTAATTATGCTACTGTGATGCATTAGGAATGCTTTCTATAATGTCTGTGCTGCAGTTTCTTTTGGTCACCGTTTTCAATCCTGAAATAATTAAAACTAAGCTAGGTGCAAGGATAGCTTTGGCATATTCTACCTCAAAAAATCTTGAAAGCGCAAAATTCAAGCTGCTTTTGATTGCTTTTCAGTGATCAAATTTTCACTGCGCAGAGGTGGAAGGGATAATGAAAAACAATGCACTTGCTACCCCTTGTAGGAGAAAATATTTCTGTACATTCCAGTACTTCTATTTTTATTTACTCCCCACGGGCCTCCCACGTGCTCTAAATTTAACGTCGGGGCTCCAAGATGAGGGAGAAGCTGCTCCAAGGAGAAGGAGAAGGGGAGGCCGCCCAGAACAGCTGCTGCTTTGTTCCTGTCCCACCTTTCCGCGCACAAGGGTGCGTATTGTGCAGTAACGTCCTTTTCAGCCGTGCCTCCGGGATGACAAGGCCTCCGCGCAGAATTCATAACGTGTTTTGTCCCAGTGTCAGCCCTGGCCCCGCACAGAGAGCAAGTGTTATCTCACTAACCAAAGACCTATTTACTTAGTGGAGCTTGGGCAATTGCCAAGGGGCTCTATTCTCTTTCAGCTATTCCATGGCTCCCTTCAGCATGGGCCCTTTCCTCTGACCCTCTACCACGTTCAGCAAACAACGACTAGTTAGGATTTAAGTACAAATAAGACTATTAGCCATCTAGACTTCCTCCTAATGCACGTGTATAAATAAATGTCACCACAAGCCCTCCTTGATACAAGAAACCATCGATCCAAAGGCTAAAATAAATAATAGTTGAAACAACTGTCTGTGGCACTTGCTTGGTATTTTCAGCACTAAAATTCTCCTATAATAGCTCCCTAGGATATATTTTTGTCTATCAACCAACTTTATTGCTGTGGGAAATGGTGACAGATGCTTTGGCACTGGAAGTCAGTGCTAGTGTGACTGACCGCGGCCAAGGCAAGAAAACTCATCTGTGCTCCCAGCTGACATCTCCAAGTCAGGACCTTGTAACATTAAAAAAAAAGTTCCTCTCAAGGCAAGAAAACTCATCTGTGCTCCCGGCTGACATCTCCAAGTCAGGACTTTGTAACATTAAAAAAAAACTGCTATTACCAAGTAAAAATGCTAGAATTGTCCATAATTCTGTGCTGTTTTGCAGACATTTAAGTGCCTCAAAATAACAGTTTGCTGAACTGTAACAGAGTTAAGACAGATGGTATTTTTTTTTCCCCTCTATTACAGGATTTTGCAGAGATCTGTAGAGAATCACAGAGATCATGTTCACACCAAAGAGTAAAACACAAGAATTTGTGCAAAGTGCAGCCATTTTTAGACAGCCTTCAAAGATGTGATTTGGTTTTGCTTTTTATTGCTAAGCAAGAATGCACGTACCTCAGTATATTCTGTGTGCAGGATCTAAGTTTTTGGTATCAGTTCCTTGGTGGCTATCGTTTTGTTAAAGAATACAGTATATGAATAAAATAGCAAGAGTTGGGCTAGCCCACCAGCTTCCAGGCTATAGCACTGTTAGGAACAGCCTGTAATACTGCAACAACAGTAAGAAAGGTCTCAGCAGCTACGTGTTGCACGTTTGAACTACTGTAGGCACATCACATGCTTAAAGAAACATCTGTGTAACTAACTCCTTAATGTTAGTAATAAGGTTTGTTCTTCCCGGTTACTAAATGGGAGAAACAAAGATTAAACTTGCTTATTATTGCCTAGCAAGTGTGAGATGCTTCTATACTTCTAGTTTGAAGGTTCTGGAGTGTTTTTCATCCAGTGCTCTTCTATGTATTATAACCCTTTTGGTTGCTCTTCCAAGTGCAGAGCTGTGAGGTACAGTGACAGCCTGCAAGCTTCAGCCCAGTGCAAGCAAAACAGCTCTGAAGCACGGCCATGGCACGACAGCCCCGTGCAACGCCCAGAGCCCTCCTTTGGAAAGGCTGAGAGTATGAACCGACCCCTGGCAGCACCACAGGTTACAACTGTTTGGGCAGGCAGCCAAGGTTGGTGCAGATTACTGAAAAGTTTGAGCCCAGCCAGCAAGTATGAGCATTGCTTTTTTTGCAACACAAAATTTGAGCAACTACATCAAACCATTTTAAAATAAAATAAAGTTTTTACAGCCTCACAGGGGTAGTTCCATTCAAACGCTAATGTAGCATGTAAATGCACAAACACAAGACTCAACTTATCGTTTATGTGGCAAAGATTGCAAAGAACATATTTTAAATCTTACTGCTCAAAAGTGATGACATTATCTGCACCCTTGCCAAAGGATGCAGGTTAATCCTGGAACATGAGACAAATATCCTTTCATTGACACCTTTTTTAAATCCATGAAATTTTGCTACACAATCTCTAATATGAAATGCTTGGAACTAAGTCTTCATTTCCCACCAGAATAAAACAGCTGGGCTATCTTGTATACCGGGGAGTCAGGGCATTTGTTAATCCATCCACTCCCCAGTGCTATCAACTGACCTTAAAACATGCTCTTGTGCAAGCAGCCTGAGAAGACAGAACCTGGCCATAGTTCTTTCTACTTTTGTAACACCTATTTCCAAGCCTGTTCCTCAGTTAGTGCCAAACTAGCTAGAGATTGTCTTGTGTTTAGTGCTTTCATTTGGTTCAGTTTTGCAAATGTCTAAAAACAACACACAAAAGCAGACTGAAGTTTCTCCAAATGGCACAGCATACAACTGCATATAATACACCTCATGAAAAGTTCATAAAAACGCCCATCAATAAGGTTGCGAGAGCCACCAGGATTTCTGAAACGTCTTGTTACGACCCAGACATAGCTCAAAGTGTTCCCCAGATCTATGATTTTTTGTTTGTTTGTTTGCAGATTAAATCGCACAACTATGAGTACCCCCCTGGTGGCTAAGTCAACTCTTGCCTTATAGTAGTTACACCTTCCTGTTAGTCCCCCCCGTCCTTTTTAACGGTACTTTAGTCTGCTGTAGCTGTGCAGTTCTCTACTCCTCAGAGCTCACCTTGCCCGAGCCCCTCCGGGGAACGTGTCTTTCACCTCCAAAGAATCTGCCCAGCGAGTCAAGTAGACCCGAGTCTCTGTGCCGCGGCGATCCGTGCCTGGCGTGGTCTGTAGTGCTCGCAGAGGCCATTTTTGATCCGTGACGGAAAGAGGAGCGCTTTTGTGAAGCCATCAAATCCGAGTTCTCTGAAGCTGCTGCACTGTCCTCCTGGATGGTCTGTAGCTCGTCTGACTCGGAGGGCCGATCTTTGAAGGTGTTGTCCTCCCTGCCCGGGGCATCTCGGGAGAAGAGGCGGATCAAGTGGGGGCGCCCGGCCGTGTCAGCTGGGTTGGCCTCGCGCCCGGCATTCTTGGGCTCCGCTGTGCCTTGGGGGTCCGTCACCGCTGGGCCCGGCGCGGAGCTCCCATTGTTCTGGTTCACATCTGCCTCGCCTGCAAACAACAAGGACGAGAGATGAATGCGGCCTGTGACAAACAGCCCCGCCACAAAGCGCCTTTCTCCCCGCGCGCGGACAAAACCCGCAATATGCACGGCCCTAACGAGACCGCGTCCTCGCCCCGGCAGCCCCTGAGGACATCGAGTATCTTGGGACAGCGGCGTTCTCGCAAAAAAACCCGCCGTCCTTCTAGGTGGTTTTTAAAACTGGAAATATCTGTAGATAAATCAGTACAGTTCATCGGATCACAGTTACGATTCAGTGCATGTCTGTGGGAGGCGTCCTGATGGTGAGGCTTTCAGTTACCACGTGTGGGCAACTAAAACTCCAGTACTTTCCCTTGAAAGAGGGAACTCGTAAGGGTCCTTCCCTCCGCCCCCTTCAAAGCAGGGAAGAAAAAAAAAAAAAAAGAAGGCACATCAGCATGTCGAAGGACTGTGTTTTTCAATCGCACGTTTTCTCTCTGTAGCACTGGAGCTTTTGTACCGGAGCGTTTTGGCCCAGACCAGAATTCCTCATGCTAGCTTGCATCAGGAGTCAAAAAAGGTGGGTTGTGGGGCAGTTTTTAAACTACTTAAATTGTCCTCGCCAAAAAAAAAAAAAAAAAGAAAAGTAGAGAATAACAATAACTTTTGCCCATGATGATCTCTGAATTCTGCATTCAGTGCCCTAGCGCTGATCCTGAGGACTGGTGCCAAACTCTCTGATTTATCATGGAGTACTTGTGAGAAGGGTAAAAAAAAAAAAAAAAGAACCTCAGAAACGGAGGAGCACTCAGCCAAGAAAGGCACCAACCCAGACCTTGCTGGTACAAGCAACACGTCTGCTGACTTTTCTACATTTTTGTTCTCACGCAGAATGCAAGTTCTTCATTTTTTTTCTACCCCAAAATAAGAAAGGGCTCCGTAGGTCAGTAGCTCTGCGTGCAAGCAGCAGAGAACTGCCCCTGTGCATGTGAGCAAGTCCAAAGGAAGCAGTACCCCCTGAAGAACGTCTCGCCTACAAGGAACCAACAAAAGCCCTCCATGATCTCCTGCTTGAAAAACAAGCACCAAATTAGACACTTCTCACACTCAATCCACCTCAGATAAGATAAGGGAGGTTTTAGGATTAACAGGCTTGATGTTACAGAGACGAAGCAGTCAGTCAAATGTTACCTCCAATATCTGAATGCTTTATTAAATCCCAATTTGATTTGGCCCCAGTTGCCATGAGAGGGTAGGACCCGGTAAATACTGTTATGTTTTCAAAGTACTCGGGGCTCAAGCACTATGCCGATTCACCTGAGCAGTTTCAGACTTTATGGCAGACTTCATTTTGTACTTGCTTTTCCCACCCACATAAAGCATTGAAGAAGCCTTTTCCCATTCAGGCTCAGAATTATTCTGATACAATATTATGGATAGCCCCACAAGGGGTTAATGATGGCTTCTGCATATATATATATATATATACACACCTAGTTAGAGATTGTTGCAATCAGTCAGCCAGCTACAATTCTGCACAGCTTTTCATATAAAAAGACAGTATACAATTCAGTTGTGCAGCCTCAAACACTACCACGATAGATTATGTTAGAGACTGTCAAGAAAATCTTCTTTGGTTAAAAGTCTGAATATTCCTGAATTATTCAGGAATACAATTCTGCTTAACCACTGCTTATTGTCACTTAAGACCACATCAATTAGGAAAACGAAAGCATTTCCTGAGAACTTTGGGGTTTTTGGTTTTCCTGGGGAAAGAGAAAGAAAAAGAAAAGAAAAAAAAAGTGCTTTTAGACTGACTAGAAAGTATTAAATCCCCCAAAAGTTTTTCTTGACAGAATGAAATAGAAAGTATCACTGATATATGGCACTTTCTGAAACTGCAAAACATTTTTATACAGAAGCTATAAGCCTAGATTCTATACCATAATAGAAATGCATTCAAGGAGAAGAAGAAGGAAAAAAAAAGGCAAAACAAAAGAGCTATTGTATTTAATTAAATGCATTAACAAAACACCAGAGCATCTGCATACTAATATTTTTTACAACAGTTGAGCTTTGTATCACTGAATACAGTTATTTGTAAGCAACAAAGAAGGGTATTTGGGCCACAAAAGTAGCTTCTCCCAAGGCATACACAGTGAGCTATAAAGTATAAATCTTTTGTGTGTGCTCTATTTTAGCATGCATTTAAGTTTTCCTCCAATTTTTCTGCACTAAGTCTTCTCTAGTTTTTAAAAATGTATCGCACGGAAGCATAGTTCATACTTGAGCTAACTAATCCAAGCCTTCATCTGCATTTTTGAGAAACAGATCATTTTAATAATGCCTCAAGAACACCCAGAATAGGTTGCGTAAATGTGTTTGTTCATTTAGAATCAAATATTTTGACTTCTTATCATAAAGGAATGGCCTGTTACGAGTACAGCGCCTATGATACTGGTTCCCCTTTTTTGTTTCTCCTTGCTAGATGAAGATTTGCTTTGAAAAGCTTACGTAACGCTTAACCAGAAGAGCTACCCTTCTTGCAGTGCATCCGTCGCTGCCCAGCCAAGGGGAGGGCTTCAGGCACTTTTAAAAATCCTCTTGTAAAATGGGTTAGTTTTAAGCATAAGCGCAGCAGAACACGTCGCCCTGGGCACGATGAGAGGGCTCTTACAGTGCACACTTGTCTGCGAAGTGAATCAGGGCCTTGGAAGGCGTGCAAGGGCGCCACGTGCCAGGCTGGGCAAGGGCCGTCGCCAGCAGCGGCCCAGCACGGGGCTGGCTCCGTGCCGCCGCCGCTGCCGCCCGCGCCGGGGCGGCCGTGGCCACGGAGCGGAGCAGCCGTTTGTGCCCTGCACGCGCAGCCGCGCCCAGGAAGAAGGGAGCAAAATGTCGGAGCGGTTTGTTAATGAGTCAAAACCTGTGGAAACCGGAAGAGGGCTTTTATCAAGCAGGATTAAAACAAGCACTGAAGAGGGGTTAGGCCACAGGGATGTACTTCTCAAAATCCTTCTCTCTTAGGGCTCGCTTTGACATTAACAGTCTAGCCTCAAACAGTTTATCCTCAAAAAGCAAAATAAAGCTCCTATATAACTCTCAGATTAGCTGGGGCCACTCAGCCCCTGTGGCTCTAACTGTGACTCCTTGTCAAAACTCATGGGAATCTGTTTCTGACAGAGATTCCTTGGAAAGAAACAGGCTCCCTTTTGGATCACTTGGTAGAGCTGCTCTACAATGCTCCTTCCGTGCACAAATATAGGTCTGTAGTCTTCTCCTATATAGCTGAAACACATTTTCCCAAGTTATCTGCTCTAACATTTCAGGTTAAAAAAAAATTGAGTTTTTTTTAGATGCAGTATTACATCTCTTAAAACTGTCCGCCTTTTTCTAGTCTTGCTTTCTTGCAGCTACTTGCAATTCCTCTACACCAAAGCTCCCATTCTTATTGCTGCTTCCTCTACAAATGCTGTGCAATAAATGAGGGAAGCCTGAAGCACATTCCCTTACTTTGAATTCTCAGGACAGACACTTAGTTCAACAGTCAAAACATGCGGCAAATATTGACTGTAGTGGTATATGGTAGCAACAAATATTTGCATGAAAGCCTAATGATCCCATTAGATATAGATTAAGTAAATTTTTAAGCATACAAATATTCTAGTACTCTGTATAGTAACTATAGGTGGCTTCTACTGATCAATAATTTCTTTTTTTTGTTTTTTCTTTTTTCCCCTCAGGGTATGAACATAAAAAGTCTCAAATATAGGAACCTTTTAGATCAATATTTTATTTTCATTATCTGAATATATACAGTGACCTCTTCAGTATATGAAACAGACAAGTCTCTTTTTAATTAATATGATTGATTTCTCTTGTCCTATCCCTTCTATGATGCGCCAGTTGGGTAGTCAAATATAATGCAATACAGATCTCAATTCTGATGAAACTGAGTACCAGGATTTTTTCTGAAATGCTGACACTACAACATTATTGAGTAAAACATCTTAGATTTTGTACCAGCTTACCTGTATTAGCCATCTGAACAGCAGCAGGTTGCACTTTACACCTACAAAGTTACTCAGGCTTTGTAACACCTAAGACTGCAATATCTTCAGTAAAATGTGGCAGTAAGCTGCACATGCACCATGCATGCAGTGTCATGGTAATAATCTGCTTTGCATTACTTTAAGAGGCTGGAAAAAATACAGTTCTGGAAAATGGGACCTCTATTAACACTCCTTGTAATATCAAGACATTTCAAAAAAATGAAAGGATAGAAAAAGCAAACCTATAACTCTGACATATGGACTGCGGCTGAGGTTCACTGAGTTCAGGCTGTTTCAAGATAGTAATATTTCTCAACATTTTGTCTTTTCTTTTTAGACAGCAAAGCCTTTCAGAAGAAAGAACTCAAGGAATTACTTAGCAAGTGTAGCATGAAGCACCACGGTGGGCTTCAGTTATGATTTTAGATACTTTCATACATATGGGGTGTCCACAGCATTTAGGCTTCACTAAATAAATACCTGGGGAGATGGAGAACAGCATCATATTTGCGTTGTTAAATGCAAGCTGCAAAGCTGGATTTATCATCCTCACGGTATCAACACGCTACACACAAAAACTGGCTCTCAGCCTAACCTCACTAATGTGGTTAGAAGGCAATATGCCATCAGACATTTTACTTCACAGATCTAATTACTGGTTTTGTCTGATGCCTGTCAAATTGTAGAAAATCAATTAAAAATCTATTTCTGTTTGGAATAGATTGCATGCAACATATTTACAAAACAAACAGTCAGCCACAGCTCTCTGACAACAGCTAAAACTGATCCCTTGGTGTGTTTAGCCATTACTCAAATGCTTTCCCATTTCCAAACCAAATGAATGCAGAGAAAAATGTCAGTATGCCTCATTATAGAGCTTCACATGAGCATAACTCTCCTACAGAGACTACAGACTTTGCTCGTCCCCAGCAAAGAGACCACTTCCACTGCAGCCATCTTTGCCAACCTCTACCACGGCAACTTTTCAGAAATTCACTGCAACTTTTCAGAAATAAATGCCATTCAAAGGTAAATTTTGAGGATAAAATTACATTAGAAACATTTGAAATAGTCACATAAAAGCAGAATAAATAAGCAGCAGAAAATGACTCTAGTCTTTTTTAAACCAAGAATAGATTCCTTTTAAAACTTTGGTATCAATAATTGTTCCTTTTTAAAACCTTGATATCAATGCCAGTGCTGTTTTTGACATGTAGTAGTTGTGCATAA